CTGTCCATCCAGGACCTTATTTTTATCAGTGATATTTCACCTTTAACCCATCGTACAGCGAGCAAGCAGCAGCAGCAGCTCTTATTTCACTTCTGTTTTGTCTACAAGCCTCGCTGGACTCTTCCTGGAAGTCGAGGCTGGTGAAAAACAGCAGACTCACTGCTGTAAACAGGGTACAAAGGATGTAGAAATACATGTTTAAATATGAAGCGTTACAGCGTCCCTCCCAGGAAGAGACGTGAAAGTTATTGGAGTGACATTTAATGATGTGTCAATATATGAAAAAACAAAAGTTTGCTTTGGGTATAGGATGTGTTTTATGAGGGGGTTAGGTTAGGATGAGTGGGATGTTCATCTTCCTGTCCAGACGAAGCCCCAACAAGTTAAAGTTTTACAAACTTATCACAGTTACTTTTGTGCTGAGCAGAGAAAACTTTCTCACTGTGTTTCCTTGATCAAAGTGAATTCCAGATGAGGTCATTTTAAGTGTAGTCAGCACATCAGTTCAAATTCATGTCGGGGATAAGCCTAAGCAGCCCGGTCTTGAATAATAATCATGCTTAACATTGTAGTGTGCCAGTGGTATTATGGTGACTATAGACGTTTTTTTTTGGGGGGGGGGGTTCTTTTTTTTGCAATTTACTTTATTGAATACAGTCACTGTTCTTCGAAGGAAATCCCCAGCCACTGGAAAGATGGCAGGAGGAACAAGTTGCCAAAATTGGAGCTGTGCCTGTGCCTTTGATGGCACAACCTGCAAGCGCACTTGAGCAAAGTCACACGAAACGGGCGCTGTCTTTCCCTTTCTTTTGTTTTGCGGTTAGAATTCAAGCAGCGCTTCACATGAGTCAAACTGTGATTAAGATATTAAACTTGGGAGGTGATAAAACGCTATCCTTCCCGCACCAAACATATCACCCTTTTCGGAGCAGAGGTGGTTCATGCCTGAGGGGGAAACTTGAGAGACACATTAGCATTTGTTTATTTGCTCCAATATGAACAGCCAGTGTATTACTTCTCAACCCTTTGGCCCCGTCTGTTTTGTCAGCAAGGTAACCGCATGTTTGAAATGTGTTCGTCGATGTACACGTATGTGGCTGAGACTGCAAGAGGTGGCGATCTTTACATTTCCCTACACGAGAGCGCCTCCTTTTTCATCACCATGGGGCCTCCACTAGAAAGACAAGCAGAGGCCAATGTTAGGTCACTGGCAGGGTTTGGCTCTGTTCACCCTCCTGAGTCAAGAAAGAGCAAAGAAAACAGGTTTCTGGACCTTTTGCCTTCACCTTCAAAGGGGAATATTAAGCAAGGCAACCAGTTTAGCACCATACCAGTAAAGACTATTTGCCACTTACAGTCAGGCAATCTTAAGTCACATTATGCGGTGAAAGCAAGAATTGTTTCCTGTTTAAGGAAATGGTAACTGCGGACAGTGGAATTTTCAAGCGTGCCCAAGATTTACAGAGTTGGACTGCATTTTAAAAAAAGCCTCATGGCTCACTGCTAAATTCGCAGTGTAAAACTTGTGAGACTACGTGAAAGCAGATGTATTCATTATTTTCAAAAACGGTGTTGCTTGCTTTCCGGGCAACCAGAAACTTGCTTGTTTGTTAAGGACATCCTCTAATCTTTGACACAGGAAGTGGTCTCAGACAAACAGACAACTCCAGGTTTGAGGGGAGGCGGTGACAGAATCTGAAGCAAGGCGAGGGTAGTGGCGGGTGACAGAATGTGTCACGAAAGAGATTCTGCGTTACCTCATAAGAAGCTGCCTGTCACAAGAGAAGTAGCTAAGCCCGTGGGATTTGACGGCGTTTTTCTAAAGTGACACTCCGTGCAGTCTGCAAAGTCCTCACTTGAAAACTTTCCTAAGGCAAATTTCACCTCTGCCGTGAGATCAAGTTTTCAGAAAACAGGAAGATCTTCTCAAGCCCTTCTGGCATCATTCCAGCAAAGTTGTATGGAGGTAACCTTTCCTACAAGTCTGTTGCGTTTCTGACTGAAGGCAACCCCCTTAGACTCAGATAAAATAAATATTTCATCAATCGTCTACACCCACAATGTCTCTCTCTCTCTCTCCCCCCAACTACTGTAGCTTCCATATGCGGAAAAACTTCCACAATCACGATTTTCTGTGAAGCATCAAACATCGCATCCGGGTGTGTAGTCGTGTTTACTGACGCTATGATGTTATGCAGCAGTACTAATGCTGTAGTTTGTCCGACCGCAGTGAGATGCAAGCAGTCTGGATGAACGCAACACTGAAATCCTACATTGATAAAAAGTCCGCACTTTATTTTTCACACTTGATTATCCATTGACGAGTTATTCTCCATCACATGAACGTTTGCACACTAATCTAGAGGTGGATGCCTAATTCTGGTGTCTTGTTAGTGGTCCAGAAATATAGCATGGAGCCCACCTCTCTTGCCACATTGAAGCCACCATGATTACATCGATTGACATCGACTTCATGCGCTTGGGCATGGTGATTTAGCGGCATGCCAGATGACCCTCCGAAGCGCGAGGCCTTCTTGTGGTAGGCTAAAATGTTCGCTGAAAGCTACGCTGAGTTGCTGATTTGTAAATCCTGGGGTTGGTCGGTTCCCGGCGTTGCAGACAGCTCCAGTTCAGTAGGTCCGAAAAAAGCTCATGGTGTAATTCACCGACATCCAAAAGCACTTCTGTATTGTACGTGAGCTGAACATGCTGGGCACATTACTGATATGATTTTATTTAGAAGGTCGGAATTTACTAGCAGAGTGTTGTATGCAACATGCATGGAAATGTCTTCTTTTGTACAAATCAAGCATACGTGACATTTTAGAAGCCATAATATTCCTTTTTCATTGGGGCAAAAAGGTCTGTTAAGGTGAAAACGGAAAACAGCTTTCAATGAGTGTTTTTCAAACAGCCGAACTTTGGCAAACATCGGTGGTTTGCAGACAGAGGAAGTGCTGTGAAACTCTGAGGGTTTCAAAACGCCCAGACAGCCTTCTAACTGAGCAGGCTGTTATCACCCCACCCATCCTGTCTCACACACTGAGACATACTGACATCCACTTGCCCAGACACGTGTGCACATAGGAGCCCCCTGCACGGCGGACCTCTGTGGCAGCTGCCACAAGGCTGCCACCACCAGTTGTCCACATACAGTATGCTGTTGCATCCCTGTGACTTAGTTTCCCAGGACATAATTTCTCGGCCTCCACCTGACACTCTAGGTTACGTTATTTCGCTGTTATTGCAATAAAGAGCCACATTGCAGACAGCGGGATGACACCGTTATGTGGATTTTACAAGGTGGTATGTTGCCAGTAGGTGTTGTAGCTCAATAAACGTTGCAAACAAGTCATGTCTAACACACACGGCTAATCGGAAACACTTTATCTGAAAAGTGTGACATCCCGTCTATGTTGTGTAATCCACACCGGATCATAAAGGGGTTGGTCTGATAAGAGCATGGACGCACACACACACACACACACACACACACACACACACACACACACACACACACACACACACACACACACACACACACACACACACACTATTTTGTATGTCTTCTGCACACTCGACCAGGATACATGAAGAACCACACACTCTCATTGGATTTTAAATGGGCCAGATGTTAGTGAATTATAGTGTACCGCACTTGATTTGGTCCCTTGAAACCGCTCTGTGGGTTTTCACTAAGTGCTACAAGCACAGTCAAGCCTTAGAAAAATTAAGACAGTTCAATTTTTTTGAACAGTCACTCTTGTCGTATGGGCCTTGGCCCCCAAACTCAGAAGCCACCCCAAATGAGCGCCATGATTTCAACTGGATACTTCCCATCACCTCCTCCTAGTGGAGCTTTTCGGCTGCACTGAGGCACTGGCAACCCATAATCCACGAGAAGAGGACAGGCACGTGGCACAGAGACTTTGCCCAGAGCGCACTGTCGTGTATGTGCGCGCACACTCATGTGTTGTTCGCCACATTCTCTGCTTATCTGTAGACACAAGCCTCTATTAATATCTAGGACATATCTCCTCATCTCGCCTATAATGCTGGCAACCACAGACAGGACTCCCCTAAGATATTGTCTATCTGAGGTTATGCACTGAAACTGTAATATCCACCTGACCTCATATCAAAAGGTTCATGGTCTCTAAATTGATTTTGTGTACCATAGACAGACTACGTGTGTGTGTGTGTGTGTGTGTGTGTGTGTGTGTGTGTGTGTGGCAGCTAGTGACAGCCCCACTTTGGAGAGGCTGAGGTCAGTGCCATAAAGTCAGCCTAACAGAGGAAAGAGAAACAAAACCCTATTTGTCTATCTGTATGGGTGTGTCTGTGTGTGACAGACAGACAGGCACGCACGCACGCACATATACACACACACACACACATACACACACACGCACAGTGCCCCAGTCACCTCTTGACTTCACTCTTGGCAACTCATGAGCAAACACTCCTTGCTAGATTGGTTTTGGTTGGTGTGTGACAACTGTGTGACACATTACCATCGTCTGGACTGCGTGTGTGTGTATGTGTCCTTCAGTTGCTTCAGGATTAGCACACCATCAAAGTCACCCAAAGTCAATACAGTACCGCATCCAAATTTAAACACACAGGCATTTCCAGTTATCTGTAACCTCCCCTGGCACTCCTCTATCAGTCATTCTTGTTTACACACAAACATGTTGGTTTTTCTGGCACAATATGGTGCATTTGCAGTTCACTGACCTTCTCGTGTGACACTTCTTGATTGGGAGCCAAGTGGGGAAGACCCTTCTCATGACATTAGGAAAGCGCATTCATTTGGATGTACTTGGACCCATGTGGTTATTATTATTTTTTTTTTTTGCATGTAGAGTAAATGAGTAAGTCTCGGTAATAATTTTTTCCATTTGTGTTAAGGGTTAGGAAAAAAAAACCTTTTTTTTCAGCGATGCAACAGATGTAATGCCAATATACTGACATAATCCGTCGATGTCCTTTCCTTGAAGGTGTCGGATCCCATTCCAATGAAAAAACCCAAACACGAAGACATCCCAATCCAATCCCCTGCCGCCGACAAGGAGAAGCAACATGACTGGCTACAGTCCTTTTCCAACCCCAATAAGGTCAGTTTCACCCACATGTAAAAATACTGTATCATCTAACTGAAACCTTGTACGATGATAACGCTAATACTTACATATAAACTCCCTTTAAAATATTCATTTGAAGAAGGGGAAACGCCCCAAGCCGATGAGAGGTTGAGTAGAATTCACAGCGCAACCACAATAGCGCTTTCATCAAACTTTCCAATCCAACGATATCACTGCGGAATTGTCTAACAACATTTTCATGCTTGGCAATTTTCCCCTGAGACCTCGGTGGTTCTGTTTTGCTGTTTTAAGGACCTGGCTTCGTTGACCAGAATTGTTCCACAAACAACAATCTGAGCACCCAAGTTCCCAATTCCTCATGGCCAATTCCCTTCACATTGCCCCCTCTTAGTGCATATTTGCAGGAACTCAATTGTGCATGCGTGTGTTTTGCGCACTGATCATGAATTGTGTCAAATTCAATTTCTTGCCAATGGCAGTCAATAAATCACATTTCATGCATTTCCCCCTCCCAGGGCTTCAACTGCATTCAGCCGAGACAGAGGCCATCGGCTTTTAGACCCTGGTCGCCACAAATCTATGTTGGTGATAAGGAACCCTCCAGTCACCCGCTCGCTCTGCTAAGAGACAAGTAAGTCCATGTCTATGTTGGAGGCGAAAAAAAAAAAAAAAGAATAAATACTTCCAAATACTTACCTTTGCTCTGCTGGGAGTCATTTCTATTCTTAAGTGTGAGAGATGACAATCGCTTTGTTCCACCGGATCCGATGAACTTTTTCTGACCGTACTGCAACCTCCCACACTTCACCATTAATAGACATTTGACACACTCATGCTATTAATATCCATTTGGCATTGTGCTGCCAATACCGCCTGTAACATGACTGTAGATCTGGCCCAAATTCTCCTGTGGTGGGAGTAGAATGGGATGCAAGTCCTGGACTGCATTTGAGTCTTTCTTTCAGTTGATTGGTCTTGACTGTTTTCCAAATGACCACGATGACACCAACAGTATTCACTTGGAGGCAAAGTCAAGCTTTCGACGTTGATCATAAACCTTTCTCTCCACTAAACTGATCTGAATGGTCTGGCTTCTTCTAGCTTCTACAACTACAAAAGCCTGGAGAATGCTGTGGCCCCTAACGTTGCCCTCACACCGTTACCCCTGGGAAAGGTGGGTCCAATGTCCCCGTCGGTCCCCAGCACGTCGCACCCAAGCGCGGGGGAACCTCCAGGTGAGGGCGCCAATGCCAGCTCTCGACCTCGCAAGCGAAGAGTCACAGGGGAGCTCCAGCTTCCGGCACCTGAGGGGGCCTGCTCCCTTACCTCCACTGCCAGCAAGCCACCGCAGGATGACAAAGACTCAGAGGTGGAGATTGAAGTGGAGAGTCGTGATGAGTGTAAGCTACGATCTTCTGTCCCACCAGCAGAATACTGCACATATGAAGAAGCCATTGACTCGTGGAAGCAATTTATTCCCAAGCCTCAGCCTCTCTCTTCTCCTTCTCCACAGTCACGTCGTCTTTGTCCTCCCTGTCGTCACCGTCCTTCACTTCGTCCAGCTCAGCCAAGGACCTGAGTTCACCCGGCGCCCTCGGGCCCATCTGCACCGTCACGACAGTTGAGGGCACTACCCCTGCAGCTGCTCCCATCTCAGCACCCATCACCCCTCCCGAATTGGGGCTGGAGTCAGAGCTGGAGAGCCTGCGGCAGGCGCTGGACAGCGGACTTGACTCCAAAGAGTCAAAGGAGAAGTTCCTGCATGAGATAGTGAAGATGAGGGTGAAGCAGGAGGAGAAGCTGGGATCCGCCCTACAGGCCAAACGCAGTCTGCAACAGGTAGGACTCCACGTGCATAACATGGCAATTCTTGCAAGTGAGCGGGCTCCATTTGAATTCCTAGGAAATCGACCAAGAAACAATTTTTGCTTCAATTCACAATTTAGCATTCTCGGGCTTTGGAATACGTTGGTGCGTTACATTACAACAAAGCAAGCCCTAAAATTGAAATTAAACTCCGTAAAAAGTTGACAGTAAAAAGTTCATATCAGTTGTGCCTCAAAACACAGAATAGGATGATAAATGATAATCACTGCCTGCAAAGCTAAGCATGAGTTGGCAAGTGATAACAATGAGAGCGGATGTTGCTGCAAAAAGGAAAAGCCAGACTTCCATTTTTATATTTGGTCTTGGAACAGGAACAAGAAAATGCAGTTGAAAGTGTCTGTGTGTGTGCGTGTGTGTGCGCGTGCGCACGAGCAGAACAAAAATAAGTCTTGAGCAACCCAAAGCTACTCCAGTGCAACGACATTCCACTCTCAATTTGTATCCGTGCTCTGAGGAGGCGGCAAGAGAAAGTACAAGCTACAGGAACAACTCAAACAGCCAACAAGCTGCAGGCTGAATGAAGTGTGGTCTCGCTCGAAACGAGCACCATTCCTGCTGGCTTTAGCTGAACCAACACGAGCTGCTGAGACGGGAAGTGTTGAAAGTCGGGCCTCATGTAAAGCCTGTATAGAGTCAAGGGCGTGATAGGGATCGCGTCTTTTTCTTGGAACCAACAAAACTTGATGACAGACATGTTTGTCCAAACTGTGAAGTTCCCATGAGTAGGCTTTGGTTACTACTAACACACACTCGCATGCATGCACACGCGCGCACACACAGAGTAATTTTGAGGAAGGAAATCTCTCTTCAGTTAGCCTACACATTGTCCTAACCCTCGACTTTTTGAAAGTAAACACTGACATTGATACTGGTGCGTACTGGAATTCTGGAGTAAAGTCAGGCTTCACTTTTAGAAAACCAATCTTCTCAATAGCCAAGAGGAAAAAAAATACAGTGGAGATTGTCCCTTACTTTGGATCACAACAACTCCAATAAATTGTCGTTTTCCAGGAGCTGGAGTTCTTGCGGGTTGCAAAGAAAGAGAAGCTGCGCGAGGCCACTGAAGCCAAGCGAAATTTGAGAAAGGAAATAGAGCGCCTGAGAGCCGAGAGTGAGAAGAAGATGAAGGAAGCCAACGAGTCGCGGATTCGTCTGAAGCGGGAGCTGGAGCAGGCCCGCCAGCTGAGGGTCTGCGATAAAGGCTGCGAGGCCGGACGTCTGCGGGCAAAGTATTCGGCACAGGTCTGTTGGACTTTTAAATGCAAACACTTTTTCACCCGCAAGAAAATTGTAGTGTCTGGAATTCTGCGCGCTTTTACCAAACATACACTTGTACTTGTGTAATTGCCGTGGGTTGCCATTTCTGTTTGAAAGCCCTTTCAAGGTCCGCAGAGAAGGAAAGAAAGAAAAAAAAAATCATTTCCTCTTCTCCGGTCAAAAATAAATGGGCGTCGCCCCAAATGCAGAGACTGAAGTCCCCCCCTCACTCGGAAAGGAAACAGGAAGGCATGTCGACTCCCCTGAGGCATCATGGGAAATGCAGATTAGACAAAACAAGGCGGAGGGATATGCTCTCCGGCTGCGTCGCCCTCCCTGGAGAGACTATTTGAGAGGTTGCCTTCAAAAAGCAAGGCGGCAGACATTGACAGTGGAATTTGAAACATTTTCAACTGTTAAAGTGGTTTAATCAAGTAAACGCACACTTGTGGCAGGTTGGCCAAAAATCAATTTTGGTATAACTCTGAAGAGAACAGGCAGAGCACAGAGATTACCAACTCGGATACGTCCGCCACATTTCATCCGAATGACTTTGGTTTGCCATAATGTGATGCAATAAACCCAGGCCAGGTTTTTCCAGGCCCACCCTCCACCAATCAATGCACAGCACCATGTTTAGCTCCACCCTTCCGGACGATTCGGATGAGAGCACGACAGTTCGCGTTACATAGATTGGGATGGGTTACAATGGAAAGCATGAAAAATGTGTCCCATACCCACTGGAAGCAAATGCTGCATCATGCAGAAGGCGGTGCGTCTTGTCTCTCTCATTTAATCGACAAAGTACCCCCCCCCCGCCACTAACTGAACTCGTTGCATCTGTCTGTCATGTCTCGTCCTGTCTGGGGTGTCTCATGTCATCCGTCTGTCCTGTCTCATCTCATTTTGTCCGTTTCTTTGCCTCGCCTGTCGGTCTGCTTGTCTATGGGTGGAGGGGGGGGGGGCAATGGGGGTCACTAATTGGATCATTGCTCTCACTGTCAGAAAACGCTCTGGTGTGTGATTTCATCTGCGTCCCGTGATGTTTTCCAGATCGAAGACCTCCAGATGAAGCTGCAGCACGCCGAGGCTGATCGTGAGCAGCTCCGAGCCGATTTACTGCAAGAGCGGGAGGCCAGGGAGCACTTGGAGAGGGTGGTGAAGGAGCTGCAGCAGCAACTTTGGCCCAAATCGAACAGCGACAAAGACTTGACAGCCAAGGACAAGGACATGCCGTCCAAAAAGTAATCCAGGAGCCAAGTCCCTCACGCCCCCTCCGTCCCCGCCTCCGGTGCAAAGATTCCCGACACTTCACACCAGGCCGAGGCCTCCAATACACAAGCGGTGTTGGTCATGCTTACGGTGAATAAAACCAACCTGCGGCATTTTGGGTCCTCATCCATGTCCAAGAAAAGAAAAAGCTGCGCCATTCAAACTCGGACTCTCAGCTTCATACTTTCAGAACTGATAAGTAGATCGCAAGAGGGAACGTGTGGTTGTGTCCGTCCGTCTCTGACAAGGCAGGTAGGGGCAGTCTGTGATGTGAAATGCTGAAAGATGATCGTATTCTATTAGTCAAAGAAGAAAAGCCGCCACGTTTGTCCCTTGACGCGATGAGGACGGAAGATTTTCAGCACATGATAAGCTACGTAGACTATGTCAAGAAAACATACTTTGTACATGCAAATAAATCCGAAGATGAACAATACAAACAAATGAACTATCCACATGTGCCGCCATTTTTTTTTAAATTCGTTTTTAGGGAAGCCATCCCAGCCGACAAGGAGGAAATAATCAAGTAATATGTTATTTCAAATGTCTTCACACAACGAGCACAACCGCTTGCGAATTGATGTCATCGAATCTTGGATTTAAATTTTTTTTTTTTTTTTGGAGGAGGGCAGGAGGGGCGAAGAGAAACCGCTGTGGTGAAGACAACCTCCAGAAGCGAGCACTTGATTTCGAATCATCAAACTATCGGTCTTTGTCCCAGTGTTGCCCACACTAAGTCCAATGAACACGGGTCACCAGCCATATTTGTGTTGAACCATTTGGGTCAAAACCCAGTCGTCGAATCTTCTCAAGATACAATATTCCACATGTGAGCGTGGCCTTGTTTTCTCATCTCGTTACAGGGGAGTGAGAAAGCTGGCGTTTATATTCCTTTTATGAATCAGTTTCTACCCGTATGGGACACCCTTGGCAAAAACCACAAATATTCATGTTCATTAAATTAAAGGTATGTAAATATATATTTTGAGGGACTTAACAATAATGAATGGCACTTTGTCCTAACAACCAACCGTTTTTATGCATTGTACTCCCAACTTCTGTCTTCAACCTGATTTTGAAAACACATGAACGCTACCGTATAGATCCAGTTAACATTTTTGTTGCTTATATTCATCCTCTATTAAATATCTTTCTGTTCACCTCAGGCAAAGTATTGTAAATAAACCGAAAGAAAAACAAGGCTCAACCTGTTACTGCCTGATGAAGTCTCGATGGAACTGTTGGAATCAATCGAGTTGGCCAAAACATATGAACCGTTGACAAATCAGGAGGGGAACTTGAGTAAATGGCTGCAGCTACACGGTGACGGTGGATGAAGGTGTTTGAAAATGATGTCATAGTTTGAGACCTTGAAAAATCACAATTTCCACCTTTGAGTGCAAAAATCTATTTTGTTAGAAGTCATGCCAGCCCATCACCATGGCAACAATTTTTGTGGTTGTTTTCCCCATTGATTTATCACCAGTCTGTATGTTAGTAGCGGGATTTCTTAAAAAAAAAAAAAGACCCTGCACAAACAATCACATTTGGATTTTTCTTAAAAAAAAAAAGAACAAAACAAACAAAAAGAAGACAGTGGCTGGAAGATGCCGTTGCAGTGGGTACAATGCAATGCGAATGTACATTATGTTCATGCTATTTTTCCTTTTGATTGTTAATGTTTTAAATGAGAAATTTTATTGCTTGTCTGTTATGTTCACCTTTTTGAAAAAAGAAAAAAAAAAGAAAACTCATATTTTTGTTTATGCATGAAACTGAAAACTTTTGCCATTCATATCGTCAAATATTGGGCATTTACAGTATACTGTTCATGTAAGGGGGTTTATCGTGTATGCAATTTGTCTTTTCGAGGAGGGGGAAACAGTAACTAAAAGCAGCAAGCTGTACACATGCATTGAAAACAAACAAAAAAAAAAAACAACAATGATTCCAAAATGATGTATCAAATGCAATGCTGGACAACCTCAAGTGCCTGACACTGGCGAAAGGTTTCCAGAAGAGGAAAGCTGAAGAAGCAGCTTAACAGGGAGACAACGACTTTATAAAAAAGGCAAAAAAAAAGTCACTTCCTTCCTCAGCAGCTCTTTTTTTTCTTTTTTTTTTTAATCAGCCATCCAAGAACAACCAGTTTACATGTTTCTTTGTCAATGCAGAGAACAGTTTAAAAATCACTATTAATAACACGTAAAGCTTTTTTCCCCCCCTGGAGTGCGTGCTTTTTTTTATTCCTCATTTGGAATCGATGATGTGCATGAGCGAACACTTTTGTAGGTGATCTTTTGAAAAAAAAATAGTGATGATAATAATAAGCCACTTGCTTTGGTAAGTTGTTGCTGAGGGTTGTACATAAAGAGTTTTATGTGTTTCATCCGAGTTTGTGAACATGCTGTGCTAAGGCATTGCATGGTAAGGATAATAAAGAGGACGTTGTTTTTTTTTGGTTTTTGTTTTGTTTTGCTGTAAAAGGCCAGCTGAATCCATCAGACACTCCCCCTCAGAGAAAGACTCTGCGTCTGCCATTTTGGCGCGCCTACAAATTGTTCAATTTTGTAATCGCTTTTACTCTCTAAAAAAGTTGATATCATGTGTGTGGTTTTGTTGATGCATGGTTTTCTACAAGGGAGGCAAGAATGACATTGGCCTCTCATTCTCCCGTGCAAAGGCAGAGAATGCTCTTGTTTTCACAATGATTTTTGCCAGGAGAGCAATAACGATCCGTATTCATAAATAATTGCCAGTGTAACCATTTGAAGATGAATTTGCAAAATGTAAATATTTTTTTCATTAACAATATTGTATAATATATGTACATGGTGTTTCCTTTTTTTTTTCAAAATGAAGTCTTTTCTTACAATAGATGTCTTGTTTAATTGTTTTATAATTTGTGTTTGGAAATGTTTCAAAAACAGTTCATGCAGTGCGTAAGAGACGATTCCCCACATAAACAAGTTAAGCCAATTCTTTGCTTTTTTTTTTGACTAGTCTTTGTATTGCATTTTTTTTCAACAATTCATTCATTTTTACTGTACGTTTGGTAACATAGCAGAACTCTCTCTCACCCTCTCTCTCTCACACACACACACACACAGACACACACACACAGACACATGCACACATGGTCATTTTAAAGATTGTTCCCCCAGCATCCTTTTGTATCTGTTTAGCCCTGTGCTGCTAACGCTATATCCAACATATTTTTTTATGTAAGACGCTAATGGAAGCTTTCCCATTTATCCATGCCACATATGCAGTACGAAAAGCTCGGCCCACTCATGTGATCCCCTCGTTTTTGCTCATCTTTTCCCAACAGCACCCCTCTCGCACGACACCGACAATATTGTAAAGTAAAGGACTTTATGAGATTATGTTTGAAAATAGCTATGCTTATATACTGCAATGACTGAATGTACAGTGTATAGATGCATTACCAGAAATAAACTTGTTTGTCCAGATTGAATGGCCCACTTTCCTCGCTGCTTATTTAGTGAAGCCCTTCGAGTCGCAAACATTGCACACAACGCTCCGGGGCCCCTAATTCAGCTTGCCGATGAATGTATGAATAGGTAACAGGAACGAAGTGATTAATAGACATCCTTTTCCCACCTATTAAAATACACATCTGAGTAGACCATTTTTTCCCACTGAGTTTCTTCCCAATCAGGGTCACGTGTACACTCATGGTTGAGGGCCAAAATGAAGGAATGCAGTGTAAAAATCAAAGCCGAGTAAACATCTGTAGATCTGACAAACGAATTTTTCCCACTTTATTGATTTATATTAGATATATCATCTGGAAATTTCACCTGAAAGCCAAATATCCCTAACTTTTACTCGGGGATATTTGATCGTGAGTAGTGGATCTTGTTTCCGAGAGCAGTCAAAACTTCCCAAAACTCTGACGTTTCACGCCATCAGCAGAGCGGGCCCGTCCACCAGACAGTAGCAGTACAGTATAGCGCATAGGTCTATTGACTGACCCAATTACAGCAGTCACAAGAGGAAAAATACCCCACAGTGAGCTCATTAGTCTCTGGAGCCTCTCTGTAGCTCTCCGTCTTCCTCAGCCTCGCTGTCCCCTGCTGTTTTATAATGTACAGTCAATTACAAAGTCATGTTTAATTCATGAAAACATTTTTCTTTATTACAGCTGAATGAAGTGTTTTCTAATTTGCTGGCACATAACTCTTGTCAGATATACGGTATGAAATACATTTTATGCAGTTGTGAAATAAAAATCAAAGATTGTAAAAAATGGCGCACAAAAGTATTGGAACATATGTAGTAAAGGCGCACTAGTTAACAAGAATACCATATTGTGGTTGTTACAGCTTTCAGATTGTCTCATTAGTGGTCTGACACAGCATGCATCACAAGATTTATTTGGGACAATCCTATATAATGGATGTCCTTTTCATAATAATAATAATAATAATAACAATAATAATAATAATAATACAGCAGACCTTTATCAAATGAGCATAATTCTTTGACCAAAGGGAATGCAGTGAAATCCCTCACAAGAGTTGTGGTGCGCATTTGTGGTTCCATCAGATCATTGAAGAGGAAAACGACTCCTTCACCTCTCTGACCTCTCAGCATATTTTTCGAGGCCCCGACTGTGAAACCCACGGGAAGGTCTCCAAATTGATTTTATTTATAGACTTTGACCCCAAAAAAATGATCACATCATTGACGCACAAAGCTATCAAATTGAATTACTGTATTAATTTCATTTTAGGGGCAACGCTGTCTTCGCAGACCTCAGTAATGAACACGGGGTGTACAATATTATCATTACTTGATTCCTGTACGCTATGAGTGCAACAAGAACAGGGTCAATGTTCTTAATATGGTAACACAATAGGATAGCCAGTGGCAACACAGCTTTCAATGAAAGGTGAAATTAAAACAATCAAGCTGTTTTTTGAAGGGGGCAAAGTTTAATCTGTAATAGTGTGTTTTATACCAGGGTCCCTGGCTACACAGAAAGACGAAATAACTTGCATTACTTCCGTTTTATTCATTTCAGAATCTGAAAGACATTTTATTTTGAAATATTACCGGATTCTCTATTATATCCGTCTACGGTATGTCACTCTTGATGCAGGTGAAGGCCGCGCTTCTCGGTCACGTGATCGGTTACCGCGAAAATGAAACCGAAGCGCTAGCAGAAAACAAACGTCTTTGGAAAGTTCCTTTGGGAAGGGGAAAAGACCCAGCCAGGATCAGAAGAGGAGCATACGACTTCCAAGAAAAAGAAGGCTGGATTTATTAACACAGTATCAGGAGTCCTGTTTAAGATACGGGTTCATCTCAACGGGAGATTCCCACGCACCAGGCCCACGCTGCATAATATGCGGCTATGGTGAGTCGTACTTTTCATGCACTTTTCATTTGCGGTGTATTTTATTTTGAATGCACGTTTAAACGTTACCCTAGCGACCAGAGAGTGTTGCGGCCAGATCGGACGTTCCTGATGTCATGATTCGTGTTTATCATAATGTTACGAAAATACCAGTTTTCATGCAGGTCATCTCATATTATTTTGTTGTTTTTATCCGGCCTTAAAGGCGGGTCCCTGAAAATATTGTGTGACATTAAACCGGTCCGTGGGGCAAAAAAGGTTGGGGACCACTGCTTTATACAATATATGTAATGTATAAATATTTTAAACTATTCGACTTCTGAGAAGTTGAAGCCTTTAAGAGAGTTAACAGCAATGTAAGTACAACAGACAACATTCAAATTATTCACAGGGAAGCCCGGATCACCTCATTTGCATTGACAAATGCCTTTCATTGACCATCTCGAGGAGAACGCTGGCCAGTAGTTCTGTTTCCCACATCATATTTGGCTTCTGCAGGGCTGAGTCTACGAGAGGAGAAGGCGCAGGGGTGGAGTCTTTGGTCGACGCTGGGACAATACAGCTCCCAGTCCTGAATCAGGTCAGCGGCCAGGCTTTTTTTAACGGAACATTTTAAGAACCGACGATAAAAGTTGGCAAACCCAAGGAAACGCTGTAGTTGCTTTTTGGTGGTGGGTGGAGGCCACTCCGCCACCGCTTGGATCTTGGAAGGATCGGCTCTCAGCTAACCCTTCTCTATAAAGAACCCCAGAAATTGAACAGAGCTTATGTGCAATTCACATTTCTCCGCCTTGACAGTTTATTTTTGAGTAGACGTTGTAAGATGACACGGACATGTTAACGGTTTTCCTCTAGTGAACGTGAGAAGATTTGAATATCGTCCCGATACACAAAAGACTTTCAACAACAAAGTCTTCAGATACTACATGAAAGGGTTCATCTAAATACACTTTTTTTTTCCAAGCAATAGGCAAAATAGTCTCCCAATATAAATAAACAATGACAAATGTCTTCATACTTGACCCCAGACTGCTGAATGAATACGAAGCTGAAGGCAAATACGGTATACACACACACACACACACACACACACACACACACACACGCACGCACGCACGCACGCACGCACGCACGCACGCACGCACGCACGGAACAGGAGCTACACTCACACTTGTCTTGCTCGAGAGCCTCAATGCATCATCCAATGCAGGTCATTGGCCCCACCACCCACAAGGCAGGTTCAATATTTATGGGTCGCTGCCACATTTTGCCATCTCAGCTTGACAAAAGTGATCAGCATCTCAGCGTGCTGCCTGTCAAAGCGGCTGCAGCGTACATCATTATGTCAGGGGCTGTCACTGTCGGCGCTGCAGGTTGTGTCTGCCTCTTGGCCATCAAGCAGCTTTTCCCATCCAAAGATGTTCGCTGGATGCAATGATGAACTGAACCCTGTACCGCCAAATTAAAAAATGAAACCAACCTTACTGTGAGTAGTAAAAATGATGGTTTATGGGGAGCAACCACACAATTTTAGTACGGGATATAAAAATGTAAAGGAGATATACTTTGCTTGCTTTCACCATTTAAAACAGTTCCCATGTGTTTTAATAACATCCGTGACATGCTTTTGTTAAAATAACCTCGGGATTAACAATTAAAAGAAACTTCCTCCCTCGCTGATCATGTTACCATGATGGTCAGGGGTGCAGCCTGAGCTTTGCGACAAGCAAGGCTGCATTTCATGTTCTCACCAGTAAGTGTATGCATAACCGAGCTTACTCTCGAAGGCGAGTTTGCACTTTAGCCAAGTGGTTGGCTGTCACTTCTTCCATGATGCTCGGCCAGCTGGCTCTTGAGACTTCCAAGGTGAATGAGGGCTACTGCTTCCCGTAGAAAATAAAAATGAAACAATCCAACAGGTTGACGATCCCTGATTTTAGATTGGAGCGGCCGTTTTTCCAAGCGGTCAAGAACAGTCTGACTGTCTGATAAGATTATCTCTGGAGCCATCGCAATGGTCAGAGAGTCCTTACGATTGTTGGCAGGGACGAATCGGTGCTAAAATTGGGCTAATTCTCCTACCGTGTGATCCTGGCTTTACCAGAAGAATTAAAAAGGTATATTAATTGGATTTCAACTGGATTTAGCTCCACTGGGTCAAAGTTCCAGTTTGATGTAAACAGTATATGTTTTATAAATATTCCAGGAGCTCAAGTTGGAAATTGCATGAGTGGATGAAAAAACCCTCACTTGTGAAGCTTCCAACATTTGCTACTGTAGAATGGTTCAAAAAAGAAAAGAAGGAAGCAAATGGGCAAACAAATGGGCAGCAGAGAGCCCAGCGGGTTAAATCCTTTTGCACTAAGTAGCTAAGCCCACTTAAGCAAGTATCACCAGACCCCCAGGGCAATCAAACAAGTGTGAAAAGCCATCATATAGTGTTCCTTCAACAGCGATGTAGCTTATGAGTTATCCACTGCTGGGTGGCATTTGCCAGCTGCCCTTGCTTGAAAAACTGCCTCATCACGAGATAAGTTCAACAATATGGTAGCGTAATGGTAAAGTAGCTTCAACAAACAGCCAGAAGCGAAGTAAATGATGCAGCCTCTAGAAACTAAAATGAGAGCCCATCCCTTTTATGTGTGCCTAATGTATGAAGCTGCATTTTCAATTAAGACCTAACCATGGCAACAGACAGTAACTAACACGGTAGTCCGTGTTTCTATTATTATATTTTTAATGAGCCCAAGTCAAATTCTGCTGATCTCGTAAGATTTTCAAATATTTACTTACTGCAATCTACAGCGTGAGCTACACAAAGATGATACGAAAGAATGTTTAGATTTTACACTCTAAAGCTGATACACTTTTTCAAAAGTGTAAGGTTGTTGCCACTGCTTTTGTCCAACATTTTATGTAAAATAACAAAAAAACCAAGTAACAATACAGTCCATTTTTATTCATAAAGTACTTAAATCTAACTTACATGGCATAGCGTGATGATATTTCTTTTGTATTCATGCAGCACAACAGACATTCCTCAAAACACTCTGCTGGAGGCGATGAAATAATGACCCTTACATTTAAGGATG